AAAGTGAAGTGCAACAAGTTGGTATACAACATGTAGGCGGAAAAATATGCATGCATTATTTTTATTTTTATTTGATTTTGCGGCGCGAAATTTATGGAGGATAATAAAATAGTGAAATACTGGGGAATCTGGACTCGAGGGGTGAATGGACGTGTCATCCATATACTAGGGGTAACACTGAATTGTCAAAAAGTTATATCACTACTTGAAACAGACATCTTGGTTTTTTCGTGAAAGAACGAGCATGTAGTAATTGGCCTACACGGATATCCGTAACCGCGCAGGCCCATGTACTCATTACACGCACCCCCTCAGAACAACTAAAGGGCGCATAGAGAAAATCGATGATTGTTCATTTCAGTACATAGCAGTGTTAACCAAGAGTTATCGTGTCATTAATCATTTAATTATTCATGAATTTTCACCAGGGGACTTGAACTCTCATCAGGTTCACTAGGTGACCTATAAGTGAATATTTTCTAGTGCCACTTTTTACCCGATATCTCGGAATTAAATGAATATACCGATTTTTTTGTAATAACATTTTTTATAGAAAAAAATGATTGCTGAAAAAAAGATATTTATGAAAATGTCGGTATTTTTATTGGATCTCGAGATATCTGTGAAAAATTCATTACGAAAAAAATGCAATCATGATTATACTTTTTGAACTGGAAATTTTTTATTGCTGTTCTTCAATTTGCAGTGTGATGATCAGATTGATGGATAATTTATTGTTTAAACAATTCGCCTGTGTTGAATATAAATAAAGGAAACAAGTCATTGTTCTCGTAGAGAAATCGTTTATTCCGCTGAAGCAATGGCTGATAGCAACAATTCACAATCTTTTCGTATTTACATATAACATATTTAGTTTTAACATTGCAACAAATTACGAGTAACAGTCAAATAATATTATGAAAATATACTATACAATTGAATAATATTTCGTCAGTCCCTTTGTAAATAGGAATTCCCTGAGTATTTTCCCAAGGATTCTCCCGCCCGAGCTGATCTATCATTTCTCGTACAACTACGTTGAACATTAAATAGGAAAATGCTACGATAAATTGACGTAATTAAATTATTCATTGTAAACATCAACGGGCTGAGCTAATTGTGAGCTAAGCTGATTCAATAAATTTCGCGATCACAGAACACTGCGACGATTACAGACTATTAATATTTGAATTGATGGATGATTCGATGATGTTCGAGGATTGAGCTTTATTTACTGATTATTTTCTTCATAATTTTTGTTTGATGCTGCATGCTGCCCTCCGCTCGCTCAGCCTTGGTGATCATTGAATCTAATTTATCCAGATGAGAGCTCATTTTTTCATTGATATCAATTTTTTTATGAACTACCGGTTTCGATTCAAGGACAGATGCTTCCAAATGATCATCATGAGAAGCTTCAAGTGTCAACGTTTGCTCTTGAAACTGACTGTCTTCATGAGGACCATCCGCCGATGGTTTATGAACTGGAGTATTATCTCGTGAAGAGACACGCACCTTCAGCAAAGTTCCCAAACTACCGCAGACTGTCTGTTGACAGTAAAAATATTTAAGAAATATTTATGGATGGGCAATGGATAAAGGAGATACTCCAATTGAGTACCTTGAATCTGTTGATCTTCTTCTGAGTTGCTGAGAGAATACTATTCAGTTCATCCAGCCCACCTCCAACACGAGTTGCTGTCTCATCAGCTGTATTCAATTCCTAAAAATCAATGGACAATTTATTGAAGAGAAACGTCGACATTGGAATTGATAAATTTACTTGTGCCACGGTGTCATTAACGTCATCCTCCTTGATTTCTATTTCTACTTTTCTAGCCGCCCATTCTTCTTCACTGGGTGGTGTCTCACCAAGTAATTCAGCTCGTTCAACCGCATAAAGATATTCTTGTGACATGATTTATTTTGCTTATCTAGCTTCAGAACATCGACATCATATCTCCGATGATTTTATTATCCTTGTAGCGGAGATGAATGATTGGAACTGAGATCATGAAGTTTCAGCAACTTCTGACACTTCGTTCTTGAAATCACGTCTGCATGAAATTCAGAACACAGCACTCAATCGGAATCCATATTGAAACCCATACAAAAGTGCGCAAGCTCACAAGCTAGTCATGTCAGGTTCACATAAGCATGGGTATATATCATAAGGTGTATATATCATGATTTAATTCTGCAATCATTCATATTTTATAATCAGATATTTTGATTATACTATCGATTACTGGGGGATTCCCCTTAACTATAATTTCCCATCAAAAAATATATCTATCACCTATATATGATATAAATATGTATTAAATACATATCTTCATATATATCCATATAAATATCTATATAATATCTATATAGGACAGGTATTTAATAAATTTTTAATGCAAACTTTTGAGAAAAATGTGTCTTAGGGATATCTCAAGGAATTCCTACATGCACTCATGCAGAACAATTATTTCAATTCTAATAAATATTTCGGAAAGAGAGCGGAAAATTCAATGTCAGTGTTTTTATTTATTGTCATATCTGAGATTAATTAAAAAATTATTGGGTAAATCGAGGGGATTGATATTACCAGCAATTGTGAAAACAGAGCGGAAAGATTAACATGAGAG